GCCAAATTTTTAAAAAAGAGTAGGGGGTACGGCGTGCTCCTTCCAAAATATTAAAATTTTATATAATGGTATTTTAACATATTAGTAATATTTTTCAGAGATGCCAAGGTACCAATTTCAAGGTCAACCCGGCCCGGAATTCTTTTTAAATATAATATTCGGTCCCCCGGATTTTTTTTAGAAAAAAAGTTTTTGTCCAGACATGGATTTTTTAAAATATATTACATTTATTTTTAGTTTTTATAGCTAATAACGCCGATTTAAAATATTTTTTTTAATATAAGGCTCAGCCTCGGTGTATTTTAAAAAAATAAGCATGTCTATATTTTATGCCATCAAATAAATATAAAAATTTTATAAGCAAAATCGTAGTTGTAATTGTACATTTTTAATTCAAAAACTAACTCTTCCGTATTTTTATTCGTTCTTTAAAATATCCTAAACTATAACGATTATACCCTGGCTTTGTTTAAATCACTGTTTAAAATTTCTCATTGGAACAAAAAAGTGACAAGGGTTATTCATTGTAAAGCCTTTATTGACAGAAAAGAGAGCTTATATAGTCAGTTTAAAAAAATCAAAAGGCTAGAACAAATAGCTCAAGAATTTGGCATTCAGTTGTGGAAGATTGCATGCGTACTTTATGTATAATGGGTATTTAACAATCTTGGTACTGTTAAATCAGTTTGGAATAACTTTGAGGCCCTATATACTCATTTAAAAAATTCAGCTATTTCTAGCAACAAGTGCAAAATTTAACGGGCTGTCCACCCGATTATAAAGTAGTGTCAATTCTTATCAGATCTAGCCTTGATGCATGATGTCCTGTATTGAAAATTCAATCTCTTTTTAAGGCTTTAGGCAAGATAATCAGTTTAATTAAAGCTGAAAAATCAATAAAGCGAACTCCATGTTCCAAAATCAGATGCCTGGTATGTCTTAAATTTCTTATAATTTCTAAATGAATTTAATATTTCTAAAGGAGAACATAAAATATTGATACGTAATATTGACGGAAAACAGAAGACACTCTGGTATCAACGAAAATCAATTTATTACTGCCTTAATAGACAATATGGCAAATAGATTAATGGATACTGATTCTGATGTTCTACTAATTAAAAATACTATATTAAATTATAGTTTTATCTTTTTAGCTAACTTATCTTAATATGGATTCTTTATCAAAAAGATAATTGGCCAGCAGACCCTCACATTCGTTATGGGGAAGAGCAAATTAAATAACTGTTTCCCACTGAAGTTCGATTTTTTCGCATTTGATGAGGGAATATATAGTTATAAAAGTAATAAATTCCCCTGTGCTTCGAAAGAGTTTCAAAATTGTGAATACAATTCCGTGTAATATTGCTGAATGTGTGAGCGGTTTTCACCTTATGAATGCCATTATGATTAATTTGTCTGAAAATCATATGATAAAACAAATTCACAGTTTATTGATGATAAACGTTAACGGACATCTCTCATTAAATGGAATTCTTTTCCATATATTAATAAGTGGATCATAAGTCTCAGGTCAGCATTCTGCAAAAAAATCAGTTATTTAGTAAAAATATTTATTCAAAATGGATAAATTTTTACAAATTATTTCAGCTTAATAATACACCTAAATCTTATGGTTAATTTTAAAAAAACCAAAAAAGATTTATAAGCACTGGTGTAAACGGAAATAACTATTCAAATGATCAACTTATCCTAGATTTTAGATATGGCAAAATTTACTAACGAACCCTGCTTTTTAAGTTTAATCAGGAATTTAAAATATACCTCACGCTTGATCTTAATGCAAAAAAATAAACTGCTGGATGAAAGACTGCTCTTAAAGAACCCCTTCTCCCGTATCATAGACAAAAAATGCATATTTTACTTAATATTTTATAAAAGCCTTTACCATCAAAACAGTCACTTATTTTATGGAGTTTGAGTCTATTGACAGAATGACCTGGAAAATATATATCTTCAAAAGAAGACCCATAACTCGATAAAATAGAATGTAGTAACAAATTATTTAAATATATAGTATTTCATGCAATACCTTTCAAAATATTGTTGTAAATTACAATACATTTTGCTCTCACGTGTAGGTGTTGGTACAAATGTATTTCATTACATCATTTATAGCATATATTTGTATTTAAAATTTTAAATAATGTTTATAACAATTTTTAAATAATTTTTAGAAATAATATAACATTTTATGTATAATTATTATTTATAAGAAAATATAATGGATTAACTATCAGTGGCAAAAATTTTTGGGAAACACCATAGGGACATCTATAGGTAGTCCAATGACATATATTATATGTCATTGAGGTGGTCTAAAATAAAACTATAATTTTGCTTATCAGAAAATGCGCCAGAATGAAAGTCAGGCGAATCTTCACAAATAATAAATGGACATATATAATAGGGCATGAACTATAAAATATTTCTATTTAATAAGGAATCAAATAAAATCATCTTACAACAAAATACAGCATATAATTTTAAATAGTGTGACTATTTTAAATTTGAAATGTATAAATTTATAAACATATATTGGATTGGAAGACATCATGATATTTTGACTTCATACTGGTTTATCATTATTTGATTTTGGTAAATCTAAAATAATAATCTTATATTATTTTTTTTACCTGTTTTACCTATTTTAATTGAAATGATATAATATAGTATCTTATTAGTTTTTTATTAAGTTTTTTATTACAATAAATTTATTTAATTTGTTGATTTGATGTAAACTTGGCTAACAAAATTATTTTCATATCATAATCAGGGATGTGAACCTTTCGAAAAAAGAGTTCTGTAGGGTTCCATAAGAAATTTATGAACCAGGTTCAGAGTTTGGAGTTTAAAAAAATGCCTTTCATTATATTTTACCTTAAAAATAACTTATCATTGTAATTATAATTAAAATAATGCAATTAAATTTGAAAAATAATATTATATTTGTTTTAATTTTTTTTTGTTTAAGGCAAATTATTGTGTTATCTTTCAATAACAGAGTGAATTAATAAAATAACAATTCTTAGACCTTACTAAACCCTAAATCTAAATATGGTTTCGGGTTTGGGTTCTGTAAAATCGCGAAGGTTCAAAGGGTTCTAGTTAAGTGCGAGTTTAGGTTCTAATAAACTCTGATTATAATTGTAAATTTTTTAAAATCATAAAAATATGCATTTAAATGTGTATTTATGAACGAATAAAAAAAATCCCCTTTCTCATATAGATGTGGCAGTTATTTTAAATAGAAAGGCAGATTCCACTTTTGCTCCATCCTAACTACGCTGCTAAAATCTATATCCCCTATTATAATAAGAATATATAATGTCAGTAATATAGATATTTACTGGAAACAAAACCCCCCTCAAAAATCGATACCTAGCGCTTTTTTAATTCTAATGATACTCCCTTCAAATATATTAAAATAACTTAAATAATCAATTCTATATCAACTATCAAAAATTGTGATTGTAGAGGAGTTATTTTATAGAAAACATAAATTAAGAAAACTTCTCTCATTTTCAATGAATGCATTATTATAGCATATTATTTGCATGAATATGAGCATATATATAGAATGTCTAATCCTTATAGCGGGAAATTATCCATAAGTAAGTTTTCTTTAAAAATAATGACTTTTAATATTGATCGATATTTAGCAATCTATTATATTAGAATAGGTATACAATTAAATTATAAATTATGATAGTAATATATTATCAGTAAATCATTCAAATTTTTTTAATAGATAACACTAAATACCCCCCCCCCCCCTCCCACTGAACCCTCCCCCACTCTGCTAATGTAGACGCTATATAATGCAAATAGATTAAAATAATAGGTTCAACATTATTCCTTAGCAAGTAAATGGGAAATTTAAAATTTTAAATGAAATATTTTTGATTGATTTTAAGCGATAATATAATTACCTATCTATGTAAGTATACAACATAAGAAATCACTGAAAAGCAGTGGCGTAGCTAGGAATTTTTCTTAGAGGGTGTCCATAGATATAAAAGCCTGAGGGGCTTCGCCCCCCAGACTTCCTTTAACGGGCCTTCGGCCCTTTTGCCCAGCCTTCGATCGGGTTTATCTTACAAATCATAAGCATATCTTCGATAATATATAATAAATATATTTTAAATGCATCATTACTATGTTATTAATAATTTAGTAGAGTATTCTCAATGACTTTATAATAATACTATCCAGAATAATTTCAATAGAAATATAATATCCTTCCACAAACATCAAAACCAGAAAAATATTAATATTAATGGTATTTATTTGATATAAAGTAACTTTTAAGTCTTTTGAACGTATAATCTAAAAAGAAATTTTTGCTGTGGGCAGACTCTACATGACAGGATTTTCACTGTGGATGCAAACCCCTTAAAACCTTTGTCTACCCCCCTAAAAAATCCCGCCGCCTTCGGAGGCAGTGTCTATTTAATATTATTACACCTTTATAATTATATTGATACTCTTTTCAGAGAATTTAAAAGGATAACTTAAATTAATCTATCTCTACTACCAACTATCGATATTTTGTGAATATAAAGAATTTATTTTTTTAAATTATAAATTCAATTAAAACCTCCATTATTTACAATGAATCAATTATTATGGCATTATGAGCTTGCTGATTTGGAAAAACAATGTGTATGATTGTTTGCAATATATAGATTTGGTCAATAATTGTATTATAATAATTTATAATAAAAGCATTAATTTTTACAGCAATAAATGGTGTCCTATTTCATCTCAAAATTTAATAGAAAACCCCCCAAAAAATTTATCCTAACCCCATTAAAGCAGCCTATCCTTACCCCCTTCCCCCTCAAAAAATAGGATGGTAACTGTTACTACCCCTCCCGCTCATGTAGACGCTGGATGTGGGAGTAGTCCAAACCCTAAAACCACCCCCGTAGCTACGCCACTGTTGACAAGTGACAGACATTCGTTATCTGTTTTTATGGCTATTTAACCAAACATAAGTAGAAGAAGGCCAAAGAGAACGAAAAATACATACAATGTCAGCTTCGGCAATATTTATCCTGGATTTGAAAGGGAAAGTCCTAATATCTAGAAACTATAGAGGCGATATAAATCTAAATATTATAGAAAAATTTATGCCATTACTATCAGAAATGGAAGAGGATGGTAAATTAATTCCCTTTGTTAGCATGAATGAGATAACATTCCCATTTATCAAATATAATAATCTCTATTGTAAGTATTTTATTTTTTGATTTAAAATGATTACTCTATTATTTAGTGGTATCTGTCACTAAAAAAAATGCAAATGTTGGTCTAATATTTGTATTTCTCCACAAATTAGCTCAAATATTTGTCGAGTATTTTAGAGATTTAGAAGAGGAAAGCATTAGAGATAATTTTGTAGTGATATATGAACTTTTAGATGAACTGATGGATTTTGGCTATCCTCAAACAACAGATACAAAAATTTTACAAGAGTATATTTCTTGAAATGTTTAAATTGATACAATGCTCAGTTAATAGAGAGAAAAATTTAAATAAATATCTATTAGAAAGGAATAGTATTATTAATTTAAAATATTTTCTTATCAAAATTATATCTTCTTCAATATTTTTTTATAATGAACACTTATTATGATGATGTCTTAAATAGGTTCCTCTGCTATTTTTTTCTTATTCTTTTGGTTGTAAAATAACATCTATTTATCAATCCTAAATCATGTGCTTAGATACATCACCCAAGAAGGTAGGAAATTAGAAATGACCCCCAGACCTCCTATGGCAGTCACTAATGCTGTATCATGGCGCAAAGAAGGGATCAAATATCGTAAAAATGAGGTTTTTCTGGATGTTATTGAATCCATCAATTTACTTGTAAATTACTTTTAATTGCATTTTAATTTTATATTTTTATACGGTATTCAAGATAAAAAGTGATAATTAACCCATTAATGGTCAATGTTCTATATCTGCAACAGTTGTTTTTTATTGATTTTTTACATATAAATTTTTTGAATTATAATTTTACATATATTTCTTATAGCTCAAAGATTGTACTATAACATAATATGCCATATGTTCTAGGCCCTCTCATTGAAAGAGTATTTAGTTTTTATTAATGGAATTGACACAAATTTATTTCCTATACATGCTTTCTATTCTAATTAATTTTGGCCAATCATAAATATCAATAAAAAAATAGGGTGGCAAGGAGTATTTGATGAGAGCTCATTTTGGTTTACCTAGTGTTGAATCAGAAGATATCGAAGGCAGAGCTCCGATATACGTTAAATTCGAAATTCCATACTTTACCACATCTGGCATTCAAGTTTAAAAGAATTTTTTTTTAAAGCAACTTTTTTTGGTTTTATTATCAGGTTTATAAGTTGAGCTATATTCGCTTATTTTTAACTGGCTAAATATGGTTTTTTGCGAATAACCTTATCCCGAGGTTTTTTTTCCTGGAAATATATAGATTTTCTTCGGCATGCATCAGTAATTTTGAACCAATTTAGCAGCTGATTTTTAATTATTATCAAGCTATAATCGTAGATATTTAAAATAAAATCGAATCCCTATTGGTCAGTTTTTTGAAATATGCATTTCTTTTGCTACTTATTTTGCTGCTTGATATAGGAAAACGCGTATATATATATATATTAAAAACTACTGAATCGATGTTGACATAATTCGCAATATATTTTTTATAATAATTTAATGGAAGTTACTGAAGACTTCAGATAAGATCATAGTAATTAACTGTTTTTTTGCAATGCCAATAACATGTTTAGGGAATAATACACTACACCTGAATAAAGAAGGGCTAATTAATTAAATTTAGAATTTTTTTGAAACTATTCGACGCTTGATTAGTATATAATGTTTAATTCACTATGCCATCTTGTTATTTATTATTAAAAACGAATATATATAACTTAGGTTAGGTATCTAAAAATTATCGAAAAAAGCGGATATCAGGCACTCCCCTGGGTACGATACATTACTCAAAATGGCGATTATCAGATTCGAACGATATGAAAAAAAAAGCATAACCATTATTTTTTAAAAAAAATACATTAATTTTTCTTTGTATTTATGAAAAGTCCAAAATATTATGTATTTATTTATTATATTTTCGTATTCACAATTTTTACGGATGTAAATAAAACACCATATAATTCATTCATTTACATATGTTATATTATAGTAATATTATTTATTTCAAAAATTATAATAAAATATAGTTAAAAACGGTTAATTTTATAATCCCCCTCCCCCTTGTGACAAATAATTTAATAAAAAATTTTCTTATTTTGGGTCTAGGAAATTATTGGTAATAATAACTCAACTCAAGGATTGCTCAACTGAATGACATTTTTTAATTGAATTAAATATATTTAAAATAAAACAAGTATCTGGGTTAGGGTTAGTCAAATGGTTGAGAGATATATTAACAAAGTTTTTTATAAATTTTAATCGGTTTTTATTAATAATCTATCAAATCCGACTTGTCATGTAATTTTAAATAGACGAATTCTTTCTATTATTTAGAAATTTAAATTAATCAGCTGTGCGGGTAATTTCTTTTGAATTGGGCATAATAGAAATTAGTGCATAAATCTAACTGGTTTCAAGTTTTCTGATCGGATATTAATTTTGCTTGATTCCAATTTTGGTGTGAGGTTTGCGTTTAGCCATGACCTATAAATTTAATTTTTCATTAGTTACAACTGAGATATAATGAAGAATGGATGATGAACTTAAAAATAAAAAATTTTAAATTATATTTTGCTATAATATAATGTTGCTATTAGATTTTCCTAAGAAGTTGTATTATGTATTATCAATATAGTGTAGCGTTTAAAGCCATTATATCAGCTGACAGTTAAAAGCTGTAGGGGGCTCGACCTAATTTTTATATTGCTATATTTGAAAATCGTTTGTTAATTTAGCAAAAATATCTATAGGATTATTTTTTTAAACATCTAGGGTATCAAATACTTGGTTATTTGCATTACGCGAAATCACAGCTGGTTGATGACAGCTTGAAGTATATACTATGGCGATTTAACCATTTCGCTTAGTATTTATAAATTAGTCATATTATTGGCTTGTTATTGTAAATTTCGCAACGTTTGAGAGAATCTCGCTTACTATACAAAAAATAATTATAACAATATAGTTTATTTAAGTATATAATTAATTGAAATATACTTCCCGAACACCATCTTTTTGATTCCACATTTTGTTCAATCGTTGTAATTGCTAGTATTGACGGTGCATCCGATTGTGATGATGAACTTGTCAGTTATTTTAATATCTTATGTGATAAATTTTTTTCTTACCATACTTTAATTATAGGGGGGGGGGGTTATATTTATACACGTGGGAATTAAATTTTTATTTAAAATAGTATATAACCTATTTGAAAATAGAATATTTTGCAATTCATAAAGCATTTTATTTTCATCAAAAATGTTTGTTATAGGAGAATCCCTCCTCTTCTCGCCCTTTCCCCGCTGGATAAATCTTAGGCCGTCTATATAGTTTCCTCTAAACAGCCTAAAAAGAAAGAGACGAAGATTTAAGTTAAAGGGTAAGGAATACTTAGTTTAATTTGTACAAAAAGTTATATAAATAATTATTTATAACAAATAGGGTGCTCTATGAATGGTCTGAGCTAGAGGTCTGTAGTGAGCACGTTTGTAGTCTACATGACCGTCCACAATGTTTTAAAAAAATATAACGGACAGCCAAGCCCTCACAGTTTTTAAAAAATATATCTATTAGTCTAAAATTCTTTAACGGCCCTCCGCCTACTAGTCTAAAATTTTTACCCGCCCTGCCAATTATTTATAACCAACGCTCGCCCATATAAAATTTAAATATGCCCATTCTTTCAATTATTTTAAGTATCTAACAAAAAATGATTTACAAAAAAATTTTTTAACCTCCCCACAAAAAAGTTCTATAATTTAGAAAATTACCATATTAAGCATAAAAATAACTTTAAATTACGAATAAGGAGTTTATTCGATCAAATAAAATAAATGGTTGGAAGCCATCCCCAGCGCCAATCTCGGCCTCCTCATGACTGGCGAACAGCTACGTATATCTATAGCCCTCCGCCTCGGCTGTAATGTCGTAGTTCCCTCAATCTGCATCGACTGTGGGCAGCCCATTGAATCGAAGGCTTACCATCCCTTGCACTGTAAGTTCTCCCGTGGACGACAACCTCGTCATAAATCTATCAATAACATTTTACTAGCCGCCCTCAAAAAGTTATCCCATCTACCCTTGAACCAGTGGGTCTTTCAAACGAATATGCCATACGCCCGGATGGTATTTCTCTCATACCCTGGTCTAATGGTCTTCCGCTAACATGGGATTACACTTGCGTTGATTTTGCAGCCAAGTCTAATCTCTCATTTTCTGCTATCGAAAAGGCAGAAATCCTTAAAAAAAATAAATACGCTGGCCTCGCCAACACTTTGTTCATTCCTATCGTTACCAATACCCTAGGCATGTTTGGAAACGAGGCCCTCAATTTCATCAAAATCATAGGGAAAAAAATGAGACAGATCTCAGGGGACCCCAATGAAGGATTTTATCTTCGCCAGCAGATTTCCCTGGAAATTTGCCGGTCTAATTTTTTAAGCATTCACTCTTCTCTTGGATGATATATACCTACCTTTCTTTAAAATATATATATATATGTTTTTTATAGTATCCATTTTAATATATATTTTTTAATCCTCTGTAAATTATATAATTTATTTTATAATATTTTTTTAAAAAATAATAAAAAAGTCGAATATCAAAAAATATAAGAATTAATATTTATTAATATTATTTAATTATAATGCAAAAATAATATTTACTTTTTCTAAATTCAAACCCGTTCTTTGTTCTAAGAAGCTTCCAGCAATGTTAAATCCTCTCATTCAGAAGAATTATTAGCCACTGGAATTGCCACTATTTTTCTAGCTAATCTTGATAGCTTTGGTAAATATTTTTCTTATCGTTCCACCACAATAGGATGTCCGTTTGAAGAAGTGAGATCTTTAAATAAAAAGTGAAACCATTTAATAATAAATTTTACAAATAATTTAAATTAAAAAATTGTAAAATAAACTAAGTACCCTAAACAACCTCATCCTCTCATCTGTTGTGGTTTAATTTTGCCGTGGATTGGATGCTATCTATTTCAAACACTACATTTATAATTTAATACCCCTTAATATAATTCTCTTTGCTTTTGAGGAAATGGGTATAATCAGATTTTCATCCACATCGTGTTGGCCTAGAATTGGAGTGCTCCACTTGCGTAAATATTTAAGATGAGAAAATCCAAATTAAAGTTTAAAATCAAATATAGGAAAAGCTTATTGATCAATTTTGACATAGCTATAACTTTGACAAATTAATATTCTTTAATCTAGTTTTAATTTTTATATATATTGGGAATAAATAAGTAATTATCCACATCTAACTCACACTTCAATTCTATACCGGCGAGTTACATTCTTCAAAGCAAATCAAATCCAAACATGTTTGCAATATATTTGTTTTAGAGATCTCAAACCCCGAGTCCGGCCCGACCCGAAAGGGCTTCGGGCCTAATTCTATTTAGAATAATCAGATAATTTTATCCCGCCTATCGAAGACCTCTAACATGAGCTACAGAAATAAGTTTCAAAAATAAGATACCATAAGATATGGAATTGAGATTCGTCGTTTTTTAGTAGTTTGCGAATCCCAAGTTAAGATGTTATACTAAATTAGGCATCCATTATAAAGATAAAAAATTTTTAAATTTTTGAAATAGTAAAATTAAAAATTGAAAAATGGATAGTACAGAAAGTGATTACTTGAATGATGTTATATATACCCGAACCTGATTATCTAGCTAATAAAAGCTAAGCTGTGAATTTATGAGATCTTTATCCAGTATGCATATATTAACTTAAGGAACAAGAATCATTAAGAAGGCTAGAAGTCATTAATGTTCATTACAAATTAATTAATTTTATAAAAATTATATTTCTTTCTATGTAATACATTAAGGAACATGTGTGTAAATGTAATAAATAAATAACTTTTTTCTATCAATATAGAACAAATAATAAATATAGTCTTAAACTATTATTTTAAAATCAAATTTAAAAAGATTATTTAATATTTTATAATTATTATGATCATCTTTACTTGAAAATGATCTGTATAAAATTGATTTGTATCGTTGAGTTTTATAACTTAAAAATGATTTGTAAAATATTTTAATATTGTATTAAGTTATAATAATCTCAACGCAAGGTGGCGCTAATAGCTGATGTAAAACATTTTCATTATATCAGTTTTAGATTATATAAAAAGTGCTGGATACTAAACTTTACAAAATTTTCTCAGAGTAATTTGAAATTAAATCCACGAGAAAAAAATGGAAAATTTATATACCTTTATTTTGCATAGGATAAAGTTAAATAATTTGCAATTGTACATTGCCGAGTTAATCGAGATTAGAGATCTATAGAACCGATATTTTGCACGAATTCCTAAGATGAGTGGTTTTAAGAAGCCTGGCGGAGGCTATGTTCTAAAAGTTAGTTAGCAGGATTTTCGATGATTAAAATTGTTAAAAATCATATTTTATATTAGAGATCTGCAAAGTTAGGCCCGGCCCGTACCCGACCCTAACGGGCTTTGGGCCGGGCTCAGGCCTAATTCTATTTAAAATAATCGGGTTCAGGACGGGCTGGGCCTAATATTTTTAAAAAAATTCGAGCCGGGTTGGGTCGGACCTTGGAAATTTTTTTAAATATATCTATAAATTTATCAATTTTATATTGAATTTTTATGTAAAATAAAAATATTTGATTTTATTTATTGAAACTAAACGACATATAACATATGTCTTTTATTTTGAGTAATTATAAAAATTAATTTCTATATTTAAATAAATTCGGGCCGGGCCTGGTCGGTAAATTTTTTTAAAAAATTTCGGGCCGGACTGGGCTTGAAAAATAGGCCCGATGCAGATCACTATTTTATATATCGAATTTACAGCAAATATTTGTTATATTACAAATTAACCGAAGCCGGACTGGGTTTTACAGAGCTTTATTATAAGTTGAAGGAAATTGCTGTTACCATAGCTGATTTATCTAAATTTCTTAGTTGAATGTTCAGAGATCCGCATGAATCGGGGAAAAAAGTAAAATTAACAATTTATTTCAATTTTTTATTATTAAAAATGCTGACCTGGGCTTCAATTATTTTTTAAATGCGGTCCCAACGAGATCTAAATCTTAATTGTTTTCACGTGCTTAGGCCTGGACGCAGTATGAGCACAAAATTTCTTTGATAATGATTAAATAAAAATGATACAATTTTATTAAAAATCATCCCTAAGTTGAGCTATTATCATAATTTAAAGAAATTATATTAAACTAAATTTTAAAAAAAATATAATTGGTACTAGTTGGAAATGCCTTTAGCATAGCAGAAGCTGTGTTAAATGCTGAACTTTCCTAGATCAAAATTTAGAAAAACAATTGTTACAAAATAAATAAAAAATGATGGTTAGAAAATGTATTGTAATTAAATAATTATAAATTCTTCCATCATAATATTGTATTTTTATAGTCTTCCATACAATAAAAAATGGAAAAAAAATAATATCTGCTTTAGTATTTATATTTTATTGTTAAAATAACATAACGTGCCACCTTTTTTGAAAAAAATAACGTTCCTTTTTAAAAGTAACGTATACACAGAAATACTAAATATATATTTTAAACAAATGGAGATTAATATTGAAAAATTCAATTTTTATTTTTCTTACGGTGGACAAAAAATTTAAAAAAAAAATTATTTTGGGTGATTTTTCATAACTTATTAATTGTTGCCTTAGAATTATAAATACTAAAATATTTAAATTGAATTTACGAAAAAGATATTACAAAAGAATGGTTGGTACATGCGCTACAAAACGAGACACTTCTAACTATAAAATAGATATATATAACTTTCAAATAAATTTTTACGATGACAAGGATCAGAGAAAAATCTCTTTTTATATAAATTATAATGGCGAAAATAAGATAAAAAATAATGGTGATCTATGCACCACATAACGAGAACTAATTATAGTTACAACAACATAAATAGGTATAGCTTTCACAGAATACGACAGGAGTCAGCCAAAAATTTCATTCACCTTATAATGAACTAATTATAATTACAGCATAAATAGGTATAGCTTTCAAAATAATTCACAGAATATGACAGGAAGCCTAAAATCCCTTTTGTGTTATTTTTTTTAATGGCGATATTAAAATAAAAAAGAATGGTTGGTCTATGCAAGTATAATGAACATTATAACTACAATATAAATAGATATTATTTTTAAACCAATTTTCCAGAAAAATGATGATAACCATAAAAATTCACAATTACAATTGACGATATAAAAATAAGATAACTTTATTATTTTTCTTTATCACCAATTAAAAAAAAAATCATATTATTTTCCAACAATAGTCATTATTAAATATTTGTATATTACTATAAATCCGATAAATCTAATATAAATATTTTATAATTATGATATAATATAATAGTGTATCTTAATATAATATAATATAGCATATTATTATATTTATATATTAAATGAATAAGTATCTTCTTATTTATTTAATATAAACTATTTTTTTTTGAATTTATGATTTTTCGACTTGTACTATAATATTTTAAATAAATTTAAACAAATTATATTAATATAAAATGATTTTTTCTTTTATCGTAAATACTAATTGTGAATCAAATATAATAATTACAATAAAATATTTCTAGGAAAAGCGGGGAAAAAAATATTTTTTTTAAACAAGAAGCAATATAAAATAAAGAAAGGAACATGATTAACTATAATGTTTAATGATTCATCTATTTATTTTAATCTAATATCATATAGAAAGAGCGAAAGCAAAGGACAGGAGGTTTATTGACATTTTTTTCCCATCCAAGGAAAAGACTGATTGATGTTAAATATCGCTTCAGAGTATAAAGTAACATTAAATAAAAATGAAGTTTTAAACACAGTTTAATTTTTTAAAAATGTATAAAATGGCTATATGATAATAATGAACATTTCAAATGAATATTAATTTGTCAAAAATTATATTAAGTCCACGAAATATTTAAGCTATAACAAAATGTCTAAGAAATTAATTAGGGCTATTATGGGTGGGTGATGATTAAACTACTTATATTTTTAAAAAAAATGTGATTTCAAAAAAATGTATTTATATTCTTCATAAAAAAAATATTATTATATAAAATTGCCAATATGTATAAAAATAATTAAATATGTTGTATATGAATAAAAACGGGATAAAAAGTTGATGTTTTAAATCATCCAGAATGAAGGGTGAAGCAGTCTATCGTTTTATGTTATGTTTACAATATATTCGTCCCAAATTAACTATAAAAAAATAATCACAAAAGTGTATCGCCCTCTCCTTTAATAATGCCTTCGCAATTTAAGCACGTGTCGGTATTATAAATAACATATTTTTTTAACATTATTAGGGTTCAAAAGTATTGCGCCCCTCCATATTTGTCAGGTGGAACCCAGACTAAGTTGTTGGGTTGAGATGTCCGAGCGGAATCAAATTTAATAAGATCATCGTCATTGTTGTTAAAGTAGCAGTTGTTAGTGTTGAAATTAGACCCGTCGTAATCGTAAAAATTCCCTTGAGTAATGTCTTGTTGATCGTAAATATAATTCTGTTGATTGTTATTATAAATATTCGCATTGTAAGGGGCATCAGAGGGAAGACAGTAAGCCGAACTAGAAGGCAAGTAGTTGTTGACGCAAGGGGTGGCCATGGAATTGTTAAGATAATTGTAGTAATTGATACTGTAATTGTAAGGTGGGGGGTAGTAGTTTAATTCACTTGGATTTCCAAAGTAGAAGGTGACGTTATTATTATTATTACTAACTGGTTCGAAAATATCCTTAGAATACGTCGCATAATTTGCCACAAAATTTTTGTTTTGCGGACCCTGAGCTGTAGGTAAACTACTCGTTCGTCCATTTAGGGCGGACAGATATTCCTGATTTTTAATAGAAGGTTCTTGCGTCATCTTAATTTTTGGTAAGTAGTTTTTGAATGATTGTCCAAAAAGGTTAGGTAATGACGCGATATTCCTATCGATTTCGAGCTCCTCGACCGAGGCCCTACGTGGCATTAAACCGCTTTCAAACTCAGCAGCATTCAAGCACCGATAACCATTGATAGGCTGATTAGACTTGAGAGAATTATTGACACGTTTAGACATGTTACATTTTGGCCTAAATTTAACATTATTATTTGTATTATTGCCAGCGTGATTGACGATAACAGGAGGTCTTTGAGGCGTGGATTGACTATTAGCTCTAAAGTTAATATTTTTTCCTGCGGCAATTTTATTCTGTTTTTTATAACTATCAACATTTGCCAGATTATATTTAACCAAATTATTCGCAGAGTTTGAAGCCGAAACTTCGTGGTGCGGGCTTAAGTTCAACATCGAATTATTCTTTAACGTAAAAGACACATCTTGCTTGGTAATTGAATGAGTGTGCGGTGGTGATATATGATTATTACCGAATTTGAGATCAGATGAATCAATTTTGGGCACGTGTTTATTCGATCTAGCGATTTTTTGGTTCTTGATGGCTTGCAAATCCCTATTTATCAATTTTACTGGCGGGTTTTTGGCGGTTAAAATCTCAATCGGGCTTTCAAAATCAAAAGATAACTCCTCAATATCCAGATTATTCTCAGCATCCCCATTCCAACTTTCATCACTACTCACAATTTCATGTCTGACTCCTCTCTCTAAACCATTTAAATTTAAACTGCTAAAATTAAACACGTCTTTATTATTAGCGTGTCGAATGGGAGAATAATCGTCGAGCGTTAAAGTGTTGTTAGAGCAGAAGGATTTGCTATTATTACTATCATCACTGAAATCTAAAAAATGGGAACCGGCATTATCAATACAAGAACCTATAGGAGTAGGTTCTTCCTCTTCGTCATCCGGATCTTCATCGGAGCAATTGCGTCTAAGATACAATTTATCATATCATTTAATTTAATAGTAAGAAATTGTCAAAATGCTAATTTTTTAAATTTAAAGTTTGTACTTAAATATAAATAAAGTTTTGACAAATCCTATTCTAAGTTCAAATTATTTCAATAATTACAGACCTTATTTAGAAAAATAGAAGAAAAAAAGTAATTGTACTGATTCTTCTTAGAAATTGATAGTTCTTGTCCATCGAATTGAGCGCATGGAAGGGTTAGGCGGGGTGGTCCGTTATCCAATATATCCTTATGAATGGCGTAGCATTGCTGAATCATACGATTCACTGCAATCGCGTTTTGGGCGAATTTTTCGATACTGCCACAACTGTTAGTCCTTTATAAATAAAATTTATTTATAAAATTATAAAAATGGCATGGTTTCAGGTATGACTTGTGAAAGATATAAACTCAATTTTAAAATGGTGTATGGATCATTCCGATATTCCATATAATATAGACTAAGTTATCACACCTTAAAAAAAATAGAATTCTAATAATTCCAAAAAATGGATTTAAAAGTTTAACTATAAAGTTAATGTACGTAGCGTGCTACTTGTTTTACAGCTTTAGGGATAACGCGCTTATTTGAAGACTAGCTTTACAGTAGAGCGCCATTTTTGTCAAAATTTAGGCTCAGCCATTTGGAATATGTGTCATTTTCACGCCTGGTCAGGGCTGACAAGTAAAAAAACCATTATAGATTCATATATGAACTAGGAATCTTGCACCTTTGGAAATCCTTGAAATGATATTTGGCTTGGAATAGTAGAGAAAATCAGGAATTTGAAATGTGAAGAATCGATTGACTGATAAAGGACAATGGAGCAAAGCCAGAATGTGGGCATCTGACTGAAGGTGGTCCATGAACTTGAAAACAACCTTCACATCTAATATGTACTAATTTCAGACATACAGATTTGTGAAGAAAACATAAAGAGAATCTGTAAGTAAAAATTTTGAACAATGAAGCAGAATAGTCGAGGGATATAACATCAAGTTATTAATAGCAAACGAAAGGTGGTGACTATTACAAAAAAGGATTCAAGTTAGCATAAAAACTTGCGGAACAAATGAATAAAGATATTAAAATAATGCATATTCAGTAAAACGAGAAAGGATAAAAAAAAAAGAAAATAATATAAAATCGCGCGATAAGTTAAAAAAAATATTGAAAAGCAAATGTGAAATATAATAAATACTTAGGTCACATGGTAAACAGCAAAATATATCCGATTATAATCAAATAGAAATAAATCAATATCCCAGAAATAATTAATATAATTCACCGATTGAGTTGAATGCCAATTTAATTTCAGAGAAAATTGATAATTTTAAAATAAAAGGTGCACCCAGATTGTTATCCACGCATGACTCTAGCTAAGACTTCCCATGAAGTATGTGCATGTAGCATTTTAAATACATATTCCTGATACTACCCAAGGTTGTACATATTATATAATATATATTTAAAACCTCTGAATAAAATAATTTTTAACTATAGTAAATATTTATTTTATATTCAGCCAGAAGGCTGTGGTATAGTCAGCCTAAGAAGAATAAAATTTTAGAATAGTGCATGTAAATTGAGTGTATAAGCAATAAATAACCTCTTCAAAACGGTAGGAGTCAATAGATGTGTAGACGGAGCGGGATACTTAACCCAGGGGTGACTAGCTACGTCGGCCGGCTTAGCTCTCTTATCGGAATTCTCTATCAAAAGATGAGATATGAGGTCCTTCGCAGACGGAGATATGTGAGACCAATCCTGGGCTGGAAAATCAAACCTGCAGCTTTGAATCCTGCTGAAAAGAGAGTCCCTGCAGGCGGTACAAGTGTTGAGATCGCAATAAGCTGGTATGGTGGGAGAGATGGGTGAAGAGGGTTGAAATGGGGGAGATGCCGAAGGGTTGTAAGAGTCCATAGTGTTGGGATGGTGAGAGGAATCGGTGCAATGCCCGTAAAAAGGAGGGTAACCGCATAGCATTATGTAGCTAACATGAAAAAATTAAAAATTGCATTAAACATTCAACCGAATGATATTTTTTAAAATAAAAGAAGTTTGATTACATGATTACGCCAAGGCTCCACATATCGCATCGTTTATCGTAGTGATTTAATTGTCCTCGAAAAGTTCTAACAACCTCAGGAGCCATAAATTCCGCCGAACCGACCTTGTATCAAATAATATTTATTTTATAAATATAAAATTCCTGAAATCTCCGCATTTAACAACACGCTTTAATACTAAATATAATCGAGTTCGAAGAAGAGAATATAATCTATGATGTAAATTCCTTGCTAGCTAGAAGAAAAAAATACGATAATGGTTATACTGGTGTGGTGAGCTCGGGAGTATTGACGGGAAAATGAGGGCTTCCGTTGAGCTCAGAATCGCTAGCCAAGTCAAAATCCGTCAGTTTAACGGGCACGATACGGTCTTCAAATTTGCACAGCACATTTTCGGGTTTAAGATCTCGGTGCGCTATGCCTATTTTTTTAAAATATGTATTTAAAATTTAAAAAAAGAAGTAATGTTTTATAAAATAGTATAGAAGAATCTAAGGTTTGATGCATGGCGTATCTCCGAACCCAAACGACTTCAAAAAAGTTATAACAAATAATGAATGAATGTCTTATTCATGATTGGGTCCTTATGAGATTAGTATTAAGTATATCTTTGAATTAAAAAAAACCTATATTATGCAAAAACTCTAACGCGTTGGCTATATCCCCAGTTACGAGACTCGCTTCCGCCTCGGTGAAAACGCTTCTTTTTTCGATTTGGTTAAGCAAAGAACCTCCTTCCATTTTTTCGAACACTGAATAGTACCTAAAATAGATTTTAAAAAAATTTAAAAAATCAATCAATAATTTCCATTAAAAAAACAAAAATAGGACTGTGCCGATATTTCGATATTTTTTATTGTTTTTGATTTTATAATATAATCATATAAATTTTCTTTATTTTATAAATAATTTCATAATAATAAATTAATGAAAGGAACCAGGATATAATTTTTTGTTGTAATGCTTAAAAAAAATAGGTTATAATTTTAAACTCTTTGTTATATTATCTGCAACAGGAAAAGGATTTTAAAAATCCTTTAACGAGTTATTATTGTTAAATGGCTCGATTTCGCCAATTTTAAAAACAGTTAAAGTAAATTACTTAAGCTTATTAATTTTGACCAGAGATGGCAGAAAGGTTTAAACTTCAATGGGCGAAATTTCGAGGTTTAATTAATAGTATTTTGGCTAAAGTTTTGATTTAGCCCTTTTTTAAAAATAGACTAAATGTAGCTGTTTAACACAATACATTCACCCATAAACATTGCAAATGTGATTATTAACTTATGGAGTGGAGAATAAAAAAATAAAAAATACACTTAATCATTCGTGAAAGATAGTTGCTTTTTTTTAAATAGAAAATATTGATTTATTTATACACAAAGCTAGGTAGTAAATAAAAATCAATGGGATCGTTGAAAAATTTGTGGATGGCACGGCCCTAATTAAAAAATATTATTTAATTTATTCACTAGGAATGAATTTTTTATATTTTTAAATCTTTCATTTTTTGTATATACCCCTGTGTTCACAGCGCGAATTCGCGGCGAAGTATACAAAAATGAATGTGAAATTATTATACTTATATCAAATTTTGTATACTTCAGAATTCCCGCTAACAGTGAACACAGGATAACAGCGGTTTTTCAAGCGCGGAATAATGATAAGACAATTGGATAATATTCGCCAAATTAAAATATTATTTTTTTTAAAACCCGACCCAAAATAAGCGATTAAACATGATAGCCATTGGTATCTTGTGATAAGGTTTCCAAGAGCCAAAACAGCCCCCATTCCTCCCGCTCCCCTGGTCTTGCCTTTAAAATAAAAGGCAAATACTTTTATTTTATATCTAGTTAGTTAAAGTCATAAAACTTAATTTAATATCTTTTGTAAATAACAATTTCTCGTCTAAAAAATTTAAAGCTGCAAATTATAGATAAATTACTCTTTTTTTATGACGGTGTGATGAAATTGCGTCTTTCGTTATTTTGGTGAAAAGAAATTATATTATAATAAATTCGTAAATCTGTCCAATAGGTTTTTCCAATAAAATGAAAAAAGGTAAAATCATTCTCGAGGAAAGTTCAACTGAAGGAGATTTTTGATTGGATGAAATATATTTTAATTAAACAAATATCTAAAGTAAGGAATATGATTAAAACAATTTCATAATTGTGTACCAATAAATCGAGGTTTAACAGCCACCCACATTCCGAACCATCTTGAGCCCACATATATATCGACCTGATAGATGATAACTATACCTTGAGTCCTTGGCAAATTATTAACTACATGTGCATTTCTTCACTCCCCTTAAGCATCAATATTAATCCGCTAACCCAAGCCGAAACAAAAAAGATCCATAAATGCAAAAATCCCAACAACTTTTATTTCAATAGTCATTTCTACAAATGGCAATATTTAGTCATTAGCCTATAAATTTAAAAAAAATCTTGGCAGCAAAATTGGCGTTTTCCAACGATGCCAAAGAATTTCAATATATTCGTCAAAAAAATTTAAATAGACATCTTTAGATATAATTATGAAATTGTATATTTTTAACGTTTTAATATAATTATGAAATTGTATTTTTTTTAGCGTTTTAATATAATTATGAAAATGTATTTTTTTTAGTGTTTTAATATAATTATGATGAGATTGTATTTTATTTTTGTAGTGTTTTAATAAATTTTCCTTTAAAAAAATATAATAATTCTGGATTATTGTGAAAGATGTAAATTAATTTTAAAAAGGGTATAAGCTAAAAAAAAATCAATATGAATATTATTTTAAAATAATTATTGATCCCTTTGATAAATATCTTCGGTCGATAGATAGTTTATAAAATTGATGCAAAAAAATTATAGACCACCGTAAACAGTGTTGTTACAAGGCTCAAGCCGATTTAAAATAAACGGCTAACTCATATTTTATCTAGAAAAACATTATGGCAAACCTGAAGACTTTGCTGATAGAAGATGGCATAAAGTTTTGGACATCTATCAGTGAAATCTAGAGACTTAGACAATATTCTGACTAAAATATTGAGTGTATTGAAATGGAAATATAAAAGATATAATCATCAGAAGCAGAACAATCTTTTGTCAAAAAAAACGAATCCCCCAGAAAAATTTACAATGATATGAAAAAGATTAGTGATGTTAAGGTAACTAGTTACCTGTAATTAGTTACATTTTGGCTAAAAAATAACTGTAACTAGTTATATTTTTAAAATTGTAACTAGTAACTTTAACTAGTTATAATTTTTGAAATGTAACTGCCAAAAGTAAGTAGTTACTTTTAAAGATATATTCAAATAATTAATTTTATTTTTAATATGTTGTGATAAATTAATTTTAAATTAAATTTATTAATTATTTTGTGAAAATGTCTGATTGTTATAATTTCCCGTTCAAATTGATTTTCTTTTCTTAAATTGTTACATTGCTGCTGGGCTTCATAATTTTGTAAGCAAATTCAAGTAATTTAATAAATTTTAATATTATATTTATTTACAAATGTAGCACAATATATTTTTTTCCGTCAAGTAACAAGCATTGGAACTTCATATCATACGTAATAAAAAAAATTTTTAATTTAGTATAAGGAAAAACAGACAGATTATTTTAGAATTTAATATTAAATTATTAATCATTACTTACGTTACAAGAACCAAGTCTAACAAAAATATCATGTTATAGGTTTAATAATCTTTATGATAATGACAACATCATTGCTGCAATTCTTCACCCTTTATTTAAAACTGACTGGCCTTGGATTAGGCAAGAAAGGAATAAAGCAAAAAAGGAGGAAATTTAATAAATACCTTAATACCTCAAAGTGAATCCCAGACGAATGAATCATGCTCAAAACCAACATCACTTGATGTAGTTGGATTTTTTGACCTTAAGCGCCAAAATATTCTGGATAATGAACTTATAGAAAACTTTATCAAATCTAATAACAACACTTTTTCTTTATATAACGATTTTCCAACGTTATAATTACTCTTTATTAAATATAATGTTGTTCTAACATCAAGTGCTCCCGTAGAGCGCTTGTTCAGTCTAGGTAATCTCATTTTTGGAGATAAACGAGCACGTTTCCTAGATAATAACTTTGAAATTAATTTGTTGTTAAAAGCAAATAAACATTTATTAGATTCTAATTTTTATGAAAAATAAATGTTTTTTTCAATGCAAATATATATTTTTATATTCGATGTAAATATTCAATTTTGCGATATTTTTTTATATAAATAAATTGTATATTATTTTAAATAACTGATTATACTTTGTTTATCCTAATTTTTTTATATTAAATAAATGCATTCAATAAATAAATAATGCGCATATGAATGATGTATAAAGTAAGTAACTAGTTACTTTTGAAAATAACTGTAACTAATAACTAGTTACTTTTGTAAAAATGTAACTAGTAACTGTAACTAGTTATGTTTTTGCCAATGTAACTAGTAACTAGTTATGTTTCAAAAGTAACTTTTAACATCACTAAAAAAGATCTACAAATTTATAAAATTTATTTTTATTGATACAAAAATTCAATTAGATTATAAAATGTGATTCCAAATGGATTCATTTAAAAATATTAAAAAATAAAATAAGTATAGGTAATTCTTTTAAATTGCTACATTCCACCAACATTAAAAAAATCCTCTATTGCTCACCTATAAAAACTTAAATAAAATAATCACTGAGATTGTTTAAAATGTTATTTTTTGATATTTATTGAAATTTTATAATAAAATATAAAAATATAATTTATAAGTGGGGGAGTGACATATTTTTCCCACTTGTATTATATACATTATTTTTTGTTATGAAAAGAAAAATCAATTTCTTTTAGCTTAATACATAGCGAAACTTTACAAATATAACATTCCCAGAATGTCCTAATATATTTTCTTAAGGGATTCCGAATCACTAGCACTTTTATAGAAATATGATCCGATCCCTTTTTATTTGTATCATCAGCGACATATTTCTTATGAAATTTTAAATGGAGTAGATATTGGATTGCTTTGCTGCAAGTATGATGATACATCCAAGTCAAGAATCTTTTGAAGAAGATTTTAGATAATTATCGAAATAGAGACCTTATATAATCACCATAGCCGTAATCTGATATAAAATTTGGTGGGGGTATTGTAATTGCCCTCCAATTTAATTCAATTAGGTTGTCTACGACTTACTTTGAGTATATTTCAAAATAAGAATCTGAATCAGTAGAACATATATCAGACAAGAAAATTTTTTTGAAAAATTTTATGGGACATAAAATGACCGGTTACATTTTTTGTAACTCCCAAAAAAATAAATGATCATTTTTAAAAATATTGATATTTATGATAAATATATAGAATATATAAATGTTTCGTATCATTTTTTATTTATCAAATATACCAGAATGATGCTAAAGTAGATTTAAAAATTTTATAAAAAATATTTTGCAAAAAATACTAAACTTTTTGCGCGCGAAAATATTTAAATAAACATAAATAAATATAATTTTTTAAATGGGATAAATTCGTATTAAATAAAATAAAAAAAATCAAGCTGGGTTAAATATGTCCCACCGTGTATTAAAGGTCCTTTTTTAGGTAGGACAAATTTCAACCGGCTGTGTAATAAAGGGTTAAATGATTGAAAAATCAAAATAATAGTTTTAATGATTAGATTATGGTCAACTCAAGAATATTGCTGTTAAAACAGCTGATTTATTTAAATTTATATTCATCTACTTATTAAAAAGGATTAAATTTTATTAAAAACCAATCTAAACCCTAACCCACCATATCCTTCTTACCTTTAATCCCTATTCTTTACTTCAAATACTTGCTTAATTTAATTTCAACTAATCAAAAAATTTTCTTCAGCTGTACATTCCGTAAGTTGAGCGATTATCATTATTAATACCAACAAAATTAATCACGAATTTTCTCGCCGAATTTGCTAATAAATTTCGGAATCATATGTTTTATTTTATTTTGATTTAAAAACAATACAAAGGGTTTAAATGTGGTTCGTATTTTTTTTTTCAAAACAATTACATTTTTTTAAAAATATTAAATTTCTCCTAGCTGGTACAATTTGAAAATTAAAATTTTTTAAAAAAATTATTCAATCGAACGTAAAAAATACCAAATTAAGTTTCGCATGCTTGCATCAATGAATTAAATCGACGAAAAAATTCGCAACTAATTTGGCACTATGACGCGAGGTATAAGGCCATAGTTTTTGAAAGGAGGGGGAGGACGCCTAAAAATATTCCCGTAAAATTTATCGTGACGAAAGTTCGCCCACCCCCTCCTTTTATGAAAATGGTGGATACGTCAGTAAAATCAAACAAATTTAACTAAACAGAAGTTGGATGTTAAAATTTTTTTATTTATTTTTAGCTTATATAATATAAGAGGAAATATTTTCGAATTGCATCATCTAACATCCTTCTCTTTTTTTTACAAAAAAAAGATTTAACATTTTCCTTGTAACTTACAATCCATTTACATTAACAAGAAATTAAGAAGTCGCTATTATAATTAGAGATCTAATTGGAAACAAATTTTTTCGATCCGTAGAAACATAACATAAAATTAATTTTCATATTTCCGACCCACTTAAACTCGATAATAGAAAATAATAATTTTAAATAAATTACTTTAAAATTTATTTATTTTTTATTATTATTTCAATGAACAAATAATCAATATTTCCCGATGCGGCTTACGTCACAGGTCAAAGTCGCTTGATTTTCGGGTTTGGTCAAGTTTTGCAGACTAGTGACTCACATCACGTGAATTAACCGAATCCCAATTGGGTAATCTCAATATAAACGCATAAAATATTAATCCTCCGAAAAAAAATTTATTACTTTTTTTTAAAAAAAATACGAATTTCAAATAGGGCGGAGTACGAACCAATTCTAAAATTTAACATATGGGAACAGAAGTTGGAAATGGAATTTTTTTTTTAAAATATAATTAGATGCAGTTTTAATAAATATCTAAGTGTTACGTAAGCAAAAAAATCATTTATATTCAACAAATACGTCATAAAAATGGAATCATTAATAAAACTATGTTCAAATATTTTTTCAAAATTCGAAAAGTTTTAAGACTTTCAGAAGTTTTAAAATGTTAAAAGTTAAATTTTTAAAATTTTTCTATAATTATATTTTGGATATGATTTTATTTTTATACTTTTAAAAAAAGCTTATTTTTTCTTTTTCGATATAGTTCAAAAATTTTTGAATCGAATTTTCTGATATTTTGGACACAACCTAATTAAAATCATTAAAAAAATCTTTTTTCTTTCGTTCCTCTCCGTCCTTTCTTTTAAGATTTAGAATTTGGAAGTAGTAAGTAACCATGTGGAATGGAAAATAATTTTAAAAAAACAATGAATGGTTTAATATACGTTTAAGTTAAGTGGCAGTAATGTTTTTTATTCAAAAATCCAGTCAAACGAGGCCATTAATATTAAACAAAGTGACTAACTTTTCATTATCCTGGAAAAAGTGAATGAGTTGACAGACATTGGGATGCCCCTTGGTGAGTTCGAAGGTCTTGATCTCCCTGTGGATTCGTTTGGCTTGCCGCTCGTCGTCGATTTTGAGAATAATTTTAACGGCGTATTCTACGCCGGTTCTCTTGTCCTTGCACATGTTGACGGAAGCCGTGGCACCCTTTCCGAGCTCCTTACAAGTCATGGTGTATAGATCTGAGAATTTAGCATTTTATAATTAATTTAATTTATTTTGTATGTTAATAAGTAAACCTTTGAACGTTAGGTTCCTAGGTTTTTGACCATTAACGCGCCCCGTTTTCGGGAGAGCAAACGAACCCCGGATCAACGGATTGGAATTGTCAGAAAAGTTTTGTTTGATGGACAGCTCGGTCGGCCTCAATATTTTCATTATAGGAAATATGTAGCCGTTTTTGGTTTCGTCAATTTTCATCATGGTGGCGGCGGTGGATGAATACAAGCGATAAGGATTAGATTTTGGTTGATTTTTTTATTTCGCTCCCCAAATAAAAGCGGAGAAAGAAACCGTTTAAAAAAAATAAAATTATCGTTGAAAGTGAAAGCACAGGTAATAGTTAATGGGACACGTTTATCACATGGCGTCGGAATAAATCTAAAGGAAATAAGGGGTGAAAAAAAGTTCGCTTTACAGCATCTCTGACAGAATGAGTGTATTTTTTTTGTTTGTTTGATTGAGCAAATTGGTTTTCTTGGATAAAATACAAATTCCTGAAAAAGCGCTAAGAAATACTCCAGTCTCGATTTGTTCAAATTTATTAATAAACAATAATTTAATGTAATTCGTAAAAAAAACCTGAGCCTTTTATATATATTTTTATTAAAAAAACAAAAGTGAGCAAATTTGTTTTGTTTGTTTTTTTTTTAATTTTTTTAAAAAAAATGTAATTAAGTAATATTATAGTAAGAGAAGTATAAGAGAGTAACAAGGCAAGGTACGAAATGATGAAATTCTTTCTTTTCTTCTATTTTACAGCAGCGACATGTTTTGACTTCCTTTTTTGCGGATCGTTTCGAAAAATCTAGAAAATATTTTAAAAATAAATATTAACATAACATAATTATTCATTATCAAATCTATTTATAAATAAAGCGAGCTCTGTGATTGGAGGAACTAAAAGGGAGGGAGAAATTTTCCCGTTTTCGTAAATATTATTTTTAAGCTTAATAAAAAATATCCCCCCCCCCCACCTGCAAATTCAATTTTTTGGTAAATTTTTAATTTTTAAGCCTAGACCTAAGTCCGAATTTCTATTTATTTTGGGGATGTACTAATTGATATTATTTATCCTTTTTACTAAAAATGTTTATATTTTTCGTTCATATTCTGTCAAGGTTAAAGGGGGAGGGGGGGAGTGATAGGTAGGAAGATTTTAAAAAATTTGTATTTTATTACAATAAACAGAATTCCAAATTTTTCATCATCTTTTATCAAAAAATGAACATATGAGATTATATTTTTTTTTATGGTTCGTTTGATTTAAAAAAATATATATATCTGTTGAGGTTTTATAAAAGTTAGGGATGTACCGATATTTTTTATCGGATCGGGCCGATATTTCATCCATTTTAAAATATCGGTTATCGGTAAATATTATAAAATTTTCTAATTTATTTAGGTTTAAATTTCAAATAAGCCGATTTTAAAAGAAATGAAAATATCCATAAGGATTTTTTTGCTAACGAGGTCAACTTATGTACCCCGACTAAAAAAAATTTAACATCCCAAACTTTCCATACCATTTCGGAGAAGTGCGTTTTTTTTGAAAAGCAAGAAAAAATTTAGTAAAATTGAAATAATTCAATTTTTTATTTTAAAAACAAATTAAATTTCTTTAAAAATAAGAATGATATAAAATATTAAAATGAGTTCTGATTCTGAATTGAAAATTTGTAATATGATAATATATAATTTACAATATAATATATTGATTTATTGGAAAAAAAATGAAATAGCAATTTATGAGGTTAGAAAAGCTTTTTAAAAAAATTTGAAATTTAATCACTTCAAGTTTTATCTTAAGACTAAAGGCCATACCAGAGCACTCTAGCTTTACCCCTGGCAATAGAACGCAAAATGATTCTTCTGCCAAAAGTGTCAGCATTGGTATCCCCTTCTAAATAGCATCATGAACGACATTGTCTTAAAACGGTGGTATTTATGGTCGCATATATTATAGTTTAAAGCCTTTTCATTAAAACATATTGCCATTAAGGTTAGGTATTAATATGAGACTGCTAGAATTTCAAGACGCAAATGAATCTCTTATCAATAACAATACTCAAATTTTTTTTAAGAGTTGGCGAAGGCTATGAGACATTTGATGGCTCCAGGAATAAAATAAAAATTCTTGAAGATTAATTTATAACTTACAATGAAATCGAGGATCTTATTGCTATTGTTTACGATATCGACAAAGATAATACTTTCTAACCGTACATCATTTTCTCAAAATGCCACCCTGACCCCTAAAAACGTAAATGTCGATTCCATAAATATTCAATTGATTGACAAAATTCCTGAGGATTTAATTATACATACAAGTGCTGATGAAACGATAACAGAGGAGGGAGCGATACTGTTAAACTCTTTAAGTATATCAGGATTACCACCTCACAAAATTTCACAAGTTGGGATACCTATAATTTTGATGCGTAATTTAAATTCTGCTTCTGGTTTGAGCAATGGGGACTAAATTGATTATAATCTCTTTGCGAAGCATTATAATTGAGGCGGAATTTGTTTCTCGTAGCTCTCAGCACTAAAGTTTTAATTCCAACTTTTCTGGCTTAACATTTTCCATTAAGCGCTGCCAATTTCCCGTGAGACCTGCTTTTGTCATGACTCATGACTATTAATAAAGCTCAGGGTCAAACATTGAATAAATTTGGCATCTATTTACCTCATCCTTTTTTTTCACTGTCTCGGGTTTGTTCTCCTCATAAACTAAAGAATACCGCTATTTCAGATGAGGTAGGATTATTGAGATAACGTATATGAAAGCTTGGAGTAGATTTTAGGAAAGTCATTAGTGATCATAGAAGCTACTCATAAATTGAGAAGCAAAGAGGTCATAGCTATAAATAATCTCTTACAATTCTATTAAAAGATGATGACCTAAAAAAGGAACCTGTTTATGCCTACTTTGTATCTCATTTTTACTATTAGGCAAATTTAATGTTTGCTGACAATATGAGCATATTCATCATATTTGTTCTCATTGACACTCATTATGCACCTTCTGCAATGCAAAGGGAATGGTGAAAAATTGTCTAAAGCTCAAATAAAAAAAAAATTCCTATATGTTGCATGAATGGGAAAGTAAATTTTATCGAAATTTTCCCCTTCTCCTCCTTATGTTTATTTACCGGGGAGCATTGCATCCTACCTTTTAACAAATATAAGAAATTTCGCGCTATCATTCATTTCATTAGGAGTTAATATAAATACTTTATACAATTCTAGCTCCGGTAATTATACCTATCAAATTAATGAGGTTCACCATCGCATTGGTTCCCTCCTACCAACATTAGGGGACACACCTAAATTTGTCCAAATGTATATAGATAGTAAAAAATGAGATACAAAACAGGCATAATCAGGTTCCTTTTTTAGATCGTCATCTTTTAATGGAATTGCAGGATATTATTCACAGCTATATCCCATCTGCTTCTCAATTTATGAGAGTAGCTTCTATGATAACTAATGGCTTTCCTAACATATCTTTAAACCTAACATCTAATCCAAGTTTTGACATATCTTATCGCAATAATCCTCTCAAATCTGAAATAGCAGTATTATTATAGGTTATGGCAGTGATCATATAGCCAATAAAGATCTTATCCTGAAAATAGGTGGTCCTTTAAGACATATTAACGAGCTCCACTCTTCACGATCTCTAATATGTTCTTTCTTTTTTCCAGAGGCGATATTAGATACCACCCGTCTATTCATTATAGAAACTTCCATAACTTTGCATAATCATAATTTAGGATAAAATAGTCTAGGTTACTAAAAATGCCAGGTCAAAATATTGACAAGTCCTTTTGTAGTAACGATTTAAAAATCACTGGAATGTTGCTATGCTTTAGGGTTGTGTACTACTCAAAGGTTATTTGATTATACTATTTAAGGTTATTACTATTAATCCTTCCTCACCCATAATGGAGAAAAAATATAAAATATTTATTAATATAATAAAATAGCCCATGGGAATTTGGGAAGATTAAAAACGAGGCGCTACCATGGCACATGATTAAACAGCTGATCGAGTTCATAAAATCTATTGATGGGACTAATTTTTCTATTTAATATTAATTTTCATTATCTTTAATTCCAATAATTATTTAAAATTTTAGGAAATATTAATAATAGTAAATAAATTTTAAAAAACGGATCCAATAAAATGATTGTATATTTAACATTTGCTCAAAATCAAAAATCTTCAAAGATCCTTGCTCTTATGAAGAACAAAAAATGTGAAGATTTTTAAAATCTTCTTTGATTTTCCCTTTAATATTTTTTTAAAAAAGAATAAAAAAATTTCCCAGATGTTTTTTTAAATAAAATAGCATATTCTTTCTTTCTAAGAAAAGTTTCTTTCTTTTAATTTTTTTGCTCTTCAAAGATTGTTTGCTCAAAATTTTGGGCGAAAAAATCTTAAAATGCTTTGGGCGAAAAAATCTTAAAATGCTTTTGAAAATATTAAACCCTGGTACAAACTCGATCAGCTGTTAAATGGTGCCTCGCATTTACTGCGAATGCGGCATAATCATCATCCGCACGTTGAAGAAACATATTAATTTTTGTTTCTTCTTTGCTAGCCAAAAATTCCATTGTTCTATAAGCCTTCACGTGACCCCTACATCAGGTGGCCATTTTGTTGGAAATCTCATTGTAAATAAATATCATCTCTTTATTTTAAGCTATATTAACTTAATCGTTTTTCCCATCATTTACCCATTGCCAGACTACATATTATTATAGTATTTTATTTTACAACTTTTAAAATTTCAATTCTACTATTTATTCTTTTTATCTTACATTTTCAAATAATAAAAATATTTAACTTTTGTCCTTCATTTTAAGAAAAAAACGTTTAATCCCATTTTTAACTTTGTAACCTAAAGAAAAAAAACACTTTCAAAACTCAATCATTTGTATAATTACATATTTCCTTTTTCTCCTTAATTTTTCATTAAAAAAAAATTTAATCCTCCTTTGATCTTGAAATCGATTCTCAAAATAATATTAAATAGCATCTTTAATGCATATTGTAGCTCGTATAAAACCAAAGATCATGCTAGGAGGAAATTTTAAACAACCTCGCATAAAAACAAAGATCAAAAGATTTATGCGAGCTTGTGTTTTTATTTTAAACATTTTTTTTTGTATAAAAATTTTATTTTTTGCAGAAAACTTGTGCCATTTGAGCACTAATTTGGAATCAATTTTTTTTTAAATCAGAAATGCAAAGAATTTATAATTTATATATACGAAAATCATCATTTAATTTGTATTTTAATGATGAA